CCCCAAAACCCCAAAACCCCAAAACCCCAAAACCCCTTTTCAAGAGAATACAAATGAAAAATTAAATTTATTCCAAAGAGTATGGAAGAACCTAGAAAAGATCACAAAGATGCTAGTGATCAGAAGCCAACTGAGACATTTGATGGTAAACCAGACTTAATTTGACCTCCTGGTTGATGCTAACCATGAATTTTATAGATACCCAAATATATACTAACAAATCTGTCAAGGCGCAAATCCCGATTAAAGAAACCCACAATAGTAGAAATCTATCCATGAATAACGCTAAGGCTAATACTAATACAACCAATCGTAATTTTTCTTGACCAGATCTAGACAATAAGTTAAAGATACGAGTCGGAAAGATAGCTGGCCAAACCATGCACAGGTAAATCTTATGATGACATCAGCTATAATATATCCTCTAGAAGAAGAAAGAACAGCATTGCTTTGAAGAAAGAGTTCAAGTTGAAGAAAGAGCTTCTTAAAGATACTCATGATGAAATTGATGCATCATATAAACCAAAATCAGGCGAAAATAAAGTTGATCTAGAGAACTCTCACACCAAACACAACCGATCCGTTTCTGAAAAGAGCAACCAAAATGGTCCGCTGAAAATCCATAAGAGAGGGAAAAGTCGGTTCTCCTCCCTTCACCAAAGCATTAGCGAGAGCTATTCTAACTGAAATTTTGATAAGAGCCAGACCTGATCATTATCAAACAACTTGGCAGGGCCTGGATCTTATAATTTACCATCGTTGCTAGGAAATATATCCATGGAAGCTACTAAAAAGAACGATCCTGTCTACTCAATTGGGACTCAAAGTAAGAAGAAATTGTTGATACTCTGCAAGGATCAAGCAATGGCTGTGAAAGGAAGCTCTTCCCCTGGAGTTGGGACTTACTCTGGTGACCTAATTACTCTCAAAGGGAAATCCCCAAATGCCACAATTGGAAGAGAGCGTAGATTTCTAGCTAATATAGATCGCAAATAACAACAATTCTGCTCATTGATATGACTCTCTTGATAGAGAAAGCATTAAAGCAAATGGAAATAAGACCAATGGCTTCTCTAAAGAGCTAAGGTTCTTAGCAGATGATAAAGCTTTAAAGGAGAAACAGCTGATGCCAAGTTGCCAGACCTATAACCATTCTTTTTATGGGACAATTCAAGAAAGATCACAGAAGATTGTGCCTCATTCTAGAAACGACTCCTTCAAGCAATCTCTTGACAAATTCTCTGTAAAGACATACTTCAAGGAACTTGAAAAAGGATACTGAAGCAAGGAAGGGCCTGGCCCAGCAGCATATTGAACTAATTTATGAAATACACTATCAAAGTTTCAGAAATCTGTTGATGGCAGTTTTCCAAAAGCCGATAGAGGAATAAAAAGATACAATACAAAGAAATACCCAGGACCTTCTGATTACGACACGAAGACTGCATACCAAAACCTTAACCTGATCAGAGGAGCTGCCACAATTGGTAAAAGTAGAAGGAACATTGACATGACTCGTATGACCTCTCTCCATAGTAAAGAACTGTGAGGGAAATATTAAAAGTTGTCCTCAATTATATTTTAAAAAAAGGGGTTTTGGGGTTTTGGGGTTTTGGGGTTTTGGGGTTTTGGGG